GAACCCCATGAACTGCAGCATGCCAGGCCTCCCTGTCCATCACCAACTCCCGTAGTTTACCCAAACTCAGGTCCATTGAGTTGGTGACGCCATCCAACCATCTCATCCTCTGTTGTCCCCTTCTCCTCCTGCCCTCAATGTGTAAATAACCCAAATCATTAAAAAATATTGTAAAAAATGTTAATAATTCTACCATCCTACTTATCTTTGATTATCTTTAATAATTTGAAGCATGATGACTACTTGAAAAACCTGTGCAGGCTGTATAAATAAAAAAAGATGATAAACATGATTTTGATTAAGAAATAAACACCATTGAATTGATCTTGGTCTATAAAAGTGTTCAGAGTTGGGGTTAGGAAGGATAAATAAATAAAAAGTAGAAAAGACACAGAGTAACTTGTAGAAGTTTAATTGTTTACTTGTAAGTTTACTTGTAGAAGAAAAAGAAGGGATAACAACAGGATGGGTGTTTTCAGCGTTTGAAGATAGGAATAAGAAATAGTATGGGAATACTGTCATACATCTGGAGAAGAGAATGGCAACCCACTCCAGTATTCTTGCCTGAAGAATTCCATGGACAGAGGAGACTAGCAGGCTATAGTCCATGGGATCGAAGAGTCAGAAAAGACTGAGTGACTAACACTCATATGTCAGAGAAATTGAAAGGAAAAAAAGCTGAGGTAAGATGTTTTGGTGTGTGTATGTAGAAGGTCACATGTTTATTTTCAAAATTTTTGCAAAACTGCTATATTGAGTAGAGCTGCTTGAAGATTTGAGATGGAATCCTAATTCTATGCACAAACTATAATTTACAGAAATCTACCCAATATCCCTAAGCCTTGTTTCACCTTCTGTAAAGTAATCTCAGCATTTTGTGTAGATAAATGAGATATAACATGTAAAGCAATTGAATTACACACTGTCTGGTAAGGAGTAAGGAAACAAATGATAAGTCCAGGCAGACCCCCTGAAGCCTACTTAAGACTGCATTTCTCAGACTCTTCTCCGCCCACAGCAAACTGAGGTATTCAACAATTTAACAGTAATTTGAGTGGGTTCAAGAGTACATGAAGTTATAAGAAAAAGAAGAGAACTAACAAACTCAAAAATCCCAGGATATGTGAGAACCAGAGAAGGAGGCTTCTTTTTACTTATGATTTTATATTGGATTATAGCTGATTAACAATGTTGTGCTAGTTTCAGGTGAACAGCGAAGGGACTCAGCCCTACATATACATGTATCCATTCTCTCCCAAATTCCCCTCCCATACAGGCTACCACATAACTTTGAGCAGAGTTCCCTGTGCCATGCAGTAGATTATCCATTTTAAATAGAGCAGTGTGTACCTGTCCATAACAAATGAGCCTCATTTTAAATAGTGGAAAAGCAATACAAAGCTTAAATTTACCATCTTAACCATTTTAAGTATACAGTTCAAAAGTGTTAAGTATATTCATGCTGTTGAGCAACCAAACTGTGCAACTTTTTCATATAGCAAAAGGAAACTCTATATCCATTAACTTATATCCATCTATTTTCCCCTTCCCCAGCCCCTGGCAACCACAATTCTTCCTTCTTTTTCTATCATTTCACTACTCTAAAAACTTCATATAATTTGATTCCTACATTTTTGTCTTTTGTGACTTCTTAAATCACTTAACACAATCTCCTCAAGTTTCACCCATCTAGAAGCATCCATCTGTGTCAATTCCTTTCCCTTTTAAAGTGTGTGTAATGTTCCATGTATGCATACATCACATTTTGACTATTCATCCATCATCAATGGACCCTTGAATAGCTTCCACCAGCTACTTATTTTGAATAATGCTGCTGTTAACATTCTATAAATATGAATATTCAGGATCCTTTTAGGTGTATAGTCAGAAGTAGAATTGCTGAATCATAGAGTAATTTTATTTCTAAATTTTTGGAAGAATCTCCATACTGTTTTTTCCACTGTGGATACACTATTTTAGAATTCCCACCAACAATGCACAATGGTTCCAGTTCCTCCACATTTCTATTCTTTTTTCCTTTGGTTGTGAGGTGATATCTCATGGTGAATTTGATTTGAATTTCCCTAATGATTAGTGATATTGACCATCTTTTTATATGCTTGTTGTGTTTTCTTTGTAGACTGTCCATATGAGACTTTTGCCCTCTTTTTAATCAAGTTATCTCTTGTATTTGATGTTTATGGAGTAAGATTTTAAGAATTGGTATGTGCATGTGGGTGTGTGCATGTGTATTTTAAGTAAAATTTTATGTTGCGTGCTATACTAACATTTTAAATAACAACAAACATTTAAACTGCTCTATTTTTTTTTTTTTGCAATACCAGTCATTACAACACAGATTTAGGAGCTGAGAAATATTGTTGGAGTTCATTCAGATTCAACTTTCATATATCTTCAACTTTCATGAGAATATATATTTAAATTGTGTATATGGTTGCTCTCTATCCTAATTATTTCATTCATGTTTCTATTTTCATGTAAATAAATATACAATTACATAATTTGAAAGGGTAAATTGTCTATATATTGAAAAGTAATGACATTACTTTGCTGACAAATGTCTGTTTATTCAAAGCTATGGTTTTTCCGGTAGTCATGTATGGATGTGAGAGTTGGACCAGAAAGAAGGCTGAACGCTGAAGAATTGATGATTTTGACCTGGGGTATTGGAGAAGACTCTTGAGAGTCCCTTGGACTTCAAGGAGATCCAACCAGTCAATCCTAAAGGAAATCAACCCTGTATATTCATTGGAAGGTCTGATGCTGAAGCTGAAGCTCCAATTCTTTGGCCACCTGATGTGAAGAATTGACTCACTGGAAAAGACCCTGATGCTGGAAAAGACTGAAGACAGGAGGAGGAGGGGATGACAGAGGACGAAATGGTTGGATGGCATCACCAACTCAATTGACATGAGTTTGAGCAAGCTCCAGGAAATGGTGAAGAACAGGGAAACCTGACATATTATAGGAATGGGGTCACAAAGAGTGCGACATGACTGAGCAACTGAACAACAACAACAAAAGGATTAAAAATACACAGGCAGAAATCTCTGAAAAGAGAGAAAGTCTCTGAATCAGACCATCACCAATGGATGGCGAGAGATCATCCATTCTTGACTAGGAACCTGCAGTCTGCTAAGTCCCAAGAGGAAGAAGCTTAATTAGCAGGCTGTTTATCTAGAAGTAAGTCTCAAATCATTCCCAGAGCAAAGAAGCCCCAGAACTTCTCCTTGTGATGGACCTAATCACCAGACAGTGCAAGAGTCATCAAAGAGATGATGAACTTCACCAGAGAATTATCCTTTTGGAGTTTAAAGCCCACACTTTTCACCTTGAATTTAAAGAAGAAATCAAAGAAAACAAAACCCAATACCATAAAACTAAATCATTCCCAGCACAAGGAATTTTTTAACCAAGAGTGTCACAGTTATTTAACTTGGAATTTAATTTTGGGCTAAGTAAAAAGTCTTATGGAATGATGGCACATCAAATGCAAAGAAAGGCATTTGGAAAAAAAAGAGAGCTAATGATTTTTCATAATGTGGAACATTCTCATCCATGAGGATTCAAGAGCCAAAACAGTATCTCTTGAGATATCAAATCAATTTAAATTTATATTATTTGAAATAAATGTTTCTCTAGCTTTTCCTCTTGTGGTTTTGTCTATGAGGGGAAAAGGAAACACTCTACTCATCAAAGATGGACAGTTTCTTTAAATTTTGAATTTTAGTTAATCATCCAAATCCTACTTGTNTTTTAAATTTTTTTTAATTTAATTTTATTTTTTTTCTTCCATTTATTTTTATTTGTTGGAGGCTAATTACTTTACAACATTGCAGTGGTTTTTGTCATACATTGAAATGAATTAGCCATGGATTTACATGTATTCCCCATCCCGGTCCCCCCACCTCCCTCTCCATCCAATCCCTCTGGGTCTTCCCAGTGCACCAGCCCTGAGCACTTGTCTCATGCATCCAACCTGGGCTGGCATTGATCACACTTTTTAAGGAAGATGATTGTTTGCTTAAAATCCTGGAGGGAAAGGAGATAAAATAAAAATTTATAAATACAAATAAACATTGTATAAGAGGAGTTGAGGAAAGCAGTGATATTCTGACCACCAGTGCATAAGTTTGGTGCCAGATTTCACTTAGAAACAGGAAAGCATGGTCTAGGGTGGGATGGAGGAATCTGGCTGCAACTAATGCTGGACCAGTATTGGGCTCCTGCCTTGACACATCTACGGCTGAACAGAGAGCTTTAGGAAGGCAGTTTTCTCTCCGCAATCAAGGATGAAGTTCTCTTTGTGTGCTCAGTCGCTTCAGTCGTGTTCGACACTTTGAGACCCCACGGACTGTAGCCCGCCGGGCTCCTCTGTCCATGGGATTCTCCAGGCAAGTATAATAAAGTGGGTTGCCATGTACTCCTCCAGGGGATCTTCCTGACCTAGAGATCAAGTCCCATGTCTCCTGCATTTCAGGCAGATTCTTTGCTGACTGAGCCACTGGGGAAATCTTTAGGATCTTATATTTATTGTGGAAACTCTCTGATGATCAACAGACAAAATCTGTATGTTTGGAAGTATGTGTGTATGTGGCGTATATTTCTGTCTGTCTCTATGGTGTCTGCAAAGGCATGTATATTACAGAAAAACAGAAAGAGAAAAAGAAAAAGGGAAAGAGAGAGAGGCTTTATTCTTAGGGTAGCTACCAACTCTGAAAAGTAGCTTGTTTGGGTATATCTTTCCTAATTCTACAGAAAAAACACTATAAAATTTACTCCTCTTTTCTATTTAGCTGATTTCATATAAATTTAGTCCTCTTTTTAATTTGGCTGATTCTTTTCTATTGGGTGATTTAGGTTCTGCAATAGAGAAACAACCATTCCTCCTCAGAGCCCCATGATGAAGCAAACGTGCTATCTGCTATCTTTGTAAAAGATAAAGAAAAATTTATCCATTGTTTTCTCTATAAGCTAAGATGCAGTTGGTATATTTCATATTGAAATATGTTCTCATATTAAGTATGTTCTCATATTAAGTGTTGGATTTGCTGTCCTTCCTGTAGGAACAGAGTACCATACAGAGGACATACGACAAATGTGAGCCTAGTGATGACGTTCATCCTCTCGGGCCTTCCCCACGCACCAGAGCTGGACACGGTCCTCTTTGGAATCTTCCTGGTGATCTACGTCCTCACTGTGGTGGGAAATCTTCTCATCATGCTAGTGATTATAGTGAATCCCCACCTGCACACCCCCATGTACTACTTCCTGAGCAACCTGTCCTTCATTGACATGTGGTACTCCACGGTCACTACGCCGAAAATGCTGATGACCCTAGTATCTCCTGAAGGCAGTCCTATCTCCTTTTCCAGCTGCGTGGCCCAGTTCTACTCCTTTGACTTTCTGGGCAGCACCAAGTGCTTCCTCTACACCGTCATGTACTATGACTGCTACCTGGCCATCAGTTACCCCCTCAGATATGCCAGCATGATGAGTGGGAGGATGTGTGCCATTCTGGCCACAACTACATGGCTCAGTGGCTCTCTGCACTCTGCTGCCCAAACCACACCGACATTCCGTTTGCCCTTCTGCAGACCCAACCAGATCCAGCATTACATCTGTGATGCACCGTCTATCCTCAAACTGGCCTGTGCAGACACGTCCACCGTGGAGATGGTGATCTTTTTCAACATTGGGTTGGTGACCTTGGGCTGCTTTCTTCTTACTGTGCTGTCCTACATGTCTGTCGTCCATTCCATCCTGAAGATCTGCACCTCGGCGGGGAGAGGGAGAGCCTTCCAGACCTGTGCCTCCCACTGCACTGTGGTCCTTTGCTTCTATGCTCCCCTTGTTTTCATTTACCTGAGACCAGGCTCCAAAGTTGTGGATAGGATTGTGGCTGTTTTCTACACTGTGCTGACACCCCTTCTGAACCCTGTGGTCTACACCCTGAGGAACAAGGAAGTGAAGAAAGCTCTTTGAAACTGAAAAAGTGAGTCAGTATTTACTCAAAGTAAATAATATGACTAACTTTTATTTATAATTAAGTTAAACACCAACAAGAATTTATACTAAAAAAAAAAAGAAGAATTGATACTTTTAAGGGACATTTCAACTAATTCTTTAATGAAAACAGTAATCTTTCACTTTTTCTCCCTGTGCAGAGTTCCAGCTTAAGCAGCCTTTTAATGGCAATAATTTAAGGGAAGTTCTCTGGAGAAGGAAATGGCAACCCACTCCAGTATCCTTGCCTGGAAAATCCCATGGACAGGCTATAGTTCATAGGGTCACAAAAAGTTTGACACAACTGAAGCAACTTAGCACAGAGCACACATATATAGCACAAAGCACATTGTAAACAATAGAAACACAGAAAGACCAAAATCTCTACTTTCGCAAAGGTCATCGTTGGGTAAGGGAGAAAAATAAATGCAGCATCAAATAAGGTACATTGAGGTAGGTGTCATGGGTGCCCAGGAAGAGACTCATTAATTGTTTTAACTTGGAAATTCACTGGAAGACTCAAAATACTATAATAATATGTATGAAACAAAACCATGTTGAAAGTTATTTAGATTTTTAATGAAGACACAAAAGGTAAATAAAAGTCAGTGTCTTTTTTAATTGAAATTTTTATTGGTATAACTGTAATATAAAGTTATAAGAAATAATACAGAGAGAGATCCCTTGTATACAGAGAGAATCTTTGCCCAGATTCCCCCAATGATAATGATTAGCAGACTGCACCATAATACCACAACTAGGATTTGGACATTGATATAAATCACAGATTATTCAGATTTTCCCAGATTTATTTATGTGTGTGTATGTTAAGTTGTACACAGTTTCAACTCCTGTAGGTTTGTGTATCCACCATCACTATCAATATATATATTGAACAGTTCCAAGACCATAAGGATCTCTTATATGATAATGTTTTAGCTGATGTGAATATTGACCACTCAATAAAGCTATCAAATATTGTTATTTTGTTAAAGAATTAGACAAAATAACTTTGAGGGTTTTTTATTTACAGTTTTTTTGTGTTCTTTTTTTTTTTTTTTGCTTTTCTGAGTGAATCAATATTTATTCAGTATATAAATATGTATTTAGTGGCTACTATGTGGTACAAACTGTGAGTACAAAGACTAAACAGACATAGACCTCAAGGAGCTTGTAGTCTTTATAATTATATAAGAAGAATAGGGTGTTTAAGAAACAGTCATAAAAATCAGACTAATTATGAAGGAACATATATACAATACTAGGATGAAGGATTCTTATCTCTCAGAATTGGGAGAGTAATTGTAATACAGCAGTGTCTAACTCCTTGCGACCCCATGGACTATATAGTTCATGGAATTCTCCAGGCCAGAATATTGGAGTGGGTAGCCTTTCCCTTCTCCTGAGGATCTTTCCAATCCAGGGATCTAACCCATATCTCCTGCATTGCAGGTGGATTCTTTACCTTCAGGCAGTAGTAGTAAGAATCAAGATGGTGCAGTGGATGGTGAAGGGCCAACTTCATGAGAAGGTAAAGCTGCTAGAGAAGGTTAATACACTTTGGTAATTGTGATAAAACTCAACACACAGAGAATGTGATAAGGGTAAGTTCTTAGGATAGAATGAAACGTATAACTCTGGAATTACTTGAATGAAATACCCATGAAAGTTTCAGGTAAAACCACCTGGTTGATAGTGTAGCCTAGGAGACAAGGCAAGAAAAGCCTACAGATTTAGTGAGCAAGGAGACGACTAACCACAACATTCTTTGGTTTCTGGTGGCTTTTTAAACATCCATTTCCTAAACCTGGAGAAGAAAACTTCTATTGAGCAGAATAAAGGGGCCAGATCAGTAAAGGAAAACCACTGCCCTTCCTATGTTTCCAAAGTTAAGTCCAAGAAGATTTACACAAATCTGCTATTGAACCTTACAGAATCATTGATTACAATACCATGAAAAGACCTTTACAGAGACTATAAATTTAAGGAGTCCCAGAGAAGGTGCTTATGAAAGTGGCTGCTTCTCAGTGACATGGTCCTGGGAGCAAAGGATTCAAGGACCAAAGCTGTTGCTCTTCTAGTTTCCTCATGCCACTGAACTATTCCACCACAGAGATGACATGTAAACATCATCCATGGAATATTTGTAGGCAATTAAAAGGAAATGAGGAATTGAAAACATTCATTTGAATAACAAAGGGGCAGCTGGAGGATTTGGGGGCGAAGGTGCATATAGTCATCATGGAAACATAAAACCCACATGTTTAAAAACTGTGATAATACTGTAAATCATAGTAATCAAGTTTGCACACCTGGCATGAAGTACTGACAAGTAGGTCAATGGAGCAGAATGTGGATCCACACCCACACATGTCACTCAGACAATGTTTAATCAATATGCCAAAGCATTTCAAAGGGGAAAGTATAGTGCTTTCAACAAATAAAGCAGAAAAACCATTAGTAAAAACCAAATTTGAGTGCTACCTTACTCTTTATAGAAAAATTATTTTATTTATTTATTTTTGTAAGTTAATTTATTAATTTTAATTGGAGACTAATTACTTTACAACATTGTAGCAGTTTCTGCCATACATTCACATGAATCAGCCATGGGTGTACCTGTGTCTCCCATCCTGAACCGCTTTCCCACCTCCTTTCCCATCCCATCCATCAGGGTCAACCCAGTGCACCGGCTTTGAGTGTTCTGTCTCACGCATCGAACCTGGACTGGAAATCTATTTCACAGATGGTAATAAACATGTTTCAACGCTCTTCTCTCAAATCATCCCACCCTTACCTTCTCCCACAGAGTCCAAAAGTTTGTTCTTTACATCTGTGTCTCTTCTGCTGTCTTGCATATAGGGTCATCATTACCATCTTTCTAAATTCCATATATATGTGTTAATATACTATATTGGTGTTTTCCTTTCTGACTTAATTCACCCTGTATAATAGGCTCCAGTTTCATCCACTGCATTAGAACTGATTCAAATGCATTCTTTTTAATAGCTGAGTAATATTCCATTGTGTATATGTACCACAGCTTTCTTATCCATTCATCTGCCAGTGGGCATCTAGGTTGCTTCCATGTCCTAGATACTGTAAACAGTGCTGCAATGAACATTGGGGTACACGTGTCTCTTTTAATTCTGGTTTCCTTGGTGTGTATGCTCAGCAGTGGGATTGCTGAGTTGTATTGCAGTTCTATTTCCAGTTTTAAAAGAATCTCCACACTGTTCTCCATAGTGGCTGTACTAGTTTATATTCCCACCAACAGTTTAAGAGGGTTTGCTTTTCTTCACACCCTCTTTGGCATTTATTGTTTGTAGACTTTTTGATAGCAGTCATTCTGACTGGCATGAGATGGTACCTCATTGTGATTTTGATTTGCATTTCTCTAACAATGAATGATGTTGAGCATCTTTTCATGTATTTGTTAGCCATCAGTATGTCTTCTTTGGGGAACTGTCTATTTAGTTCTTTGGCCCATTTTTTGATTGGGTCATTTATTTTTCTGGAATTGAGCTGCATGAGCTGCTTGTATATTTTTGAGATGAATTCTTTGTCAATTGCTTCATTTGTTATTGTTTTCTCCCATTCCCAAGGCTGTCTTTTCACCTTGTTTATAGTTTCCTTCATTGTGCAAAAGCTTTTGAGCTTAATTAGGTCCCATTTATTTATTTTTGCTTTTATTTCCATTACTCTGGGAGGTGGGTCATAGAGGATCCTGCTGTGATTTATGTCAGAGTTTGTTTTGCCTATGTTTTCCTCTAGGAGTTTTATAGTTTTTGGTCTTACATTTAGATCTTTAATCCATTTTGAGTTTATTTTTGTGTATGGTGTTAGAAAGTGTTCTAGTTTCATTCTTTTACAAGTGGTTGACCAGTTTTCCCAGCACCACTTGTTAAAGAGATTGTCTTTTCTCCATTGTATATTCTTGCCTCCTTTGTGAAAGACAAGGTGTCCATAGGTGCATGAGTTTATTTCTGGGCTTTCTATTTTGTTCCATTGATTTATATTTCTGTCTTTATGCCAGTACCACACTTTCTGGATGACTGCAGCCTTTCCCTTCTTTATGGTCCAATTCTCACATCCATATATGACTAATCTAAAATCCATAGCTTTGACTAGACAGACCTCTGTCAGCAAAGTGATGTCTTTGTTTTTTAATAGGCCATCTAGGCTTGCCATTGCTTTCTTTCCAAGGAGCAAGCACCTTTTAATTTCATGACTGCGGTAAACATTTGCACTGATTTTGGAGCCCAAGGGGGAAAAAAAGACTGTTTCCACTTTTCCCCCATCTTTTTGTCATGAAATTAGGGGACTGGATGCCATGACCTTAGTTTTCTGAATGTTGAGTTTTAAGCCAGCTCACTCTCCTCTTTCCCCTTCATCAAAAGGCTCTTTTGTTCCTTTTCACTTTCTACCATTAGAGTGGTATCATTCACATATCTGAGGTTATAAATGTTTCTCTCAGCAGTCTTGATTCTAACCTATGATTCATCCAGCTGGAATTTCAAATAATGTACTCTGCATAGAAATTAAATGATAAAAGTGACAGTATACAGCTTTGACATACTCCTTTCCCAATTTTAAATCAATCAGTTCTTCCATGTTTGGTTCTATCTGTTGCTTCTTGACCTGCATACAGATTTCTTAGGAGGCAGGTAAGGTTGTCTGGTACTCCCATCTCCTGAAGAATTTTCCATAGTTTATTGTGATCCACATAGTCAAAGGCTTTAGTGTAGTCAATGAAGCAGACATAGATGATTTTCTGGAATTACCTTGCTTTCTCTATGATCCAGGGAATGTTGGCAATTTGACCTCTGGTTTTTCTGCCTTTTCTAAACCCAGCTTGTTCATCTGGAAGTCCTCAGTTCATGTACTGTTAAAGACTAACAAAGGATTTTGAGCATTACCTTGCTAGCATGTGAAATGAGTGCAATTGTACAATAGTTTGAACTTTCTTTGGCATTGCT